ACTCTCTGTGCCACACTCCCCTCTCGTCGGCTCCTTATTCCTCCTGGCTCCTCATTCAATAAATACCACTGCATTGACCACTTACCTCTGTGTCCCTAGCCTGTGTTGTGACAATTTACTTGAAGTGTCTGTGTTTGCAAAATCTTTTTCTCAATCTAAATGATTAGTTAAATGTTGCAGTCCTGTTGCGTTTGTTAAATAATATTTGCAGTCCTGTTAAAGGGGTCATATGATGCTTTTTTAAAAGATCACTATTTTGTGTATTTGGTGTAACAGTATATATTGACATGCTTTAATGTTCAAAAAACACATTATTTTTCAAATCTTATCTATGCACAATCAGCTTGTAACACTCCAAAGAGAAAGGAAAACTTGAAATCGCATCATATGACCCCTTTAAATGTTTGCAGCCCTGCATTTGCTGAAAAATAAAATTGTGTGTTTTGTTGATACTTTGCTGTGTTTGTGGCTTTCTTTACAGTTTTTATGAGTTGCATATGACGCATTTTTGTGTAGAAGGCCAGTTAGCATTTAAAATATATTAAATGCACGGTAATTTAGAGACGTTTACTGAGATATATGACTGGCCGTTTATGGAGATTTAACTGCTTGTGAACAGGACGATACGTGGATTTACCGGTGAGTGCGTCAACATTTCCATCTGTGTCTGGGGGTTTATCGTGTTAGTGAGCGGACTGGAAAACTGTAGAGCAGAAAAGAGTCCATTTCTGTCAGTGTCAAGAAGTCAGAAACGCCAGGGCACATACACGGAAACTGACGGAAACATGCCGTTTACGGGTTCGTGCGCTGACGTGAACCGTTCGGAAATGCGCCTTTTCATGCAGTGATATATGATCAAAAAATCCACTATGCTACACGCACAAGATGAGGATCAGTCTGAAGATGATGCAGAAGAGGAAAATCCTGAGGAACCAGAAGATGCACCCTCCTCGTCGAAGCTGCCAGTCTTTCGGTCAAGACATACTAGACAGTATGAAGATATTTTTGGTGCAAAACAACTGAGCATCTGTGACAGCGGAATTTGTAGTTGTAGAGAATAGCCACACATGTGTATCAGTATATTTGAAGTCACAGACAAAAGTTGCAAACTTGTAGATTGTTTTTCCTCTCCCACAAACACAACACAATAGTTACACCTTCTCGAATCCTTCACTGCAGGTGCACAAATCCTATTCTACGGATCACTAATCAAAAAACTCGCACGCTCACATGTTTTGCTACTATTGCTGCAGTGAATATGGTGCAAAACACATTCACACACCTGCATCAAAAATGTGAAGACGAATTTTGTACATCCGCAAATCAGTAAGTGAAGTCTTGCAATGAGATTTGCACGCTTGTAGAATGTTTTCTTACATATACATATTTTTTCCTTGGATGGTTTTTCTAGCACAAACATAAGTGCACAACGACAACGGCGTGAATCTGCATTTGAAGCTTTTGTCTGTGATTTCAAATGTACTAATACACATGTGTGGCTATTCTCTCTACAACTACAAATTCCGCTGTCACAGATGCTCCGTTGTTTTGCACCAAAAATACCTTCATAAGACAGAAGACCTTAACGACCAGCATGAGGGAGCAGATCAGAAAGTATAAGGAAGAGCTTTCACAGCAAGCCATCACTGAAAAAACAGGAATAGACTTTTGGTTGGCAAAAAGTGACACTTTTTATGGGTTTGGAACGACCTGAGGGTACATAATTAATGACAGAATTTTCATTTTTGGGTGAACTAACCCTTTAAGTATATCGTAAAACATTGTTGACAAGCTCACATGACAGATGCAATTGGAGACCACTGGAAATGTAAGTTTAGCATTTTATAAACAATGTTTGAACTGGAAAGTATTTGGATTTGCAGTTGATAATTCAATCTCAACCTGTTCTGCATGTTACTCTGTATTTCAGTTTCATTCAGTTCATTTCTTGTCATTTCCTGTGAAGAAATCCTGAATGAGGGTCAAAGGTTCAGACGAAGGGAACCAAACGGCTACGCTTCCAAGACTCATGTAGGAACAACTTCGAGAATCCATGTACAATGAGCTGTTTTCAAATCTCAACATGGAACTTGGACTGAACATGCAAAAAAAGAAAGTAGTTTCCTCAAACTGGCACATGGCAAGAGATACTAAAAGCACACAAACACTTGGAGCCCTGCTCTTAATTCAGATTGTACAGTTCTCTTAGTTTCACTTTGAAATGTCAGGCACGAGTGCATGAATCTTTGTTCCATATTTTCAAATGCTGTACAAGAAAGTTTTACAGATAATTGCAATGCAGATCATTTAGCATGAATTAGAGGTTAGTAATCTAACTTAACGGGTTAGTTCACCCAAAATATTATATGAAAAATCTTGTTCCAATCCTGGAGACTTTTGTTCATTTTTGGAACACTTATGAAGATCCTTTTTAGTGAAATCTAACTGCTATACCTTATTGGACCTTGAAATAGTAGTTGCACAGGCTGTCAATGGAGGGACAGAAAGCACAGAGATTTCATTAAAAATACTCTTCATTTGTGTTCCAAAGATGAATGGAAATCTTATGGGTTTGGAACGGTACGAGGGTGAGTACCTGATGACAGAATTCACATTTTTGGGCGAACTGTCCTTTTTAAGTAATATTGTGTTCTCTTGTAGGAAAATGGTGTCAACACTGGAACATTTCACTTGACTATTGACGAATGATGAAGTTTATAGCAGTTGTTATTAATGACAGCCCTGTCCTTGTATTTATTTTAAAATGTTTTGAATCTTTTGAAAGTTTATCTTCATGAACACTATTTGGCGCAACACCAATATTGTACAAGTACCTGCTCATGTTTTTTTTCTGCCTGTTGCTGTTTAAAGTCCCCCTGTGGTGAAAATCAAGTTTTTTATGTTGTTTATTTGTCTATGTGGTGTTTTTAATATGCTTTTAGACAAACCATGTGCCAATCCATTTATCAACACCATTGCTGAGTATTTTCTCCTTAAAACTGTAGTTTCCCAAAGGCAGTCACAGAAACGCGGTTTGAAACAGCCTTTTTTTGCTACGTCACAAAATTCAATAACCAATCGCGTCAAGGGATCCTATCCTTAGCATATCATTAACTGCGCTGCAAAGGGTCTAGTGAGAAGGCAGCCAGGTTAATCCGGTAACAGTTATATTTTTTCTGTAGATGTTTCGCCAACTGTTAATATTTCCCCCGATTTTTTTTATCAGTCATTATCCATGTACGAACCAGCGCAAACAGATAATGTTACCTCACGAAGTTAGCCATCAGTCTCCTTGCTTACATTGAGCATACCAGCTTATTTCTGGTTCAAACACATATGGCTTAATTAAACCAGTATTTCCTCTTGCCATTGCCATTGTATGGCGTTTACTACAGTTCATTTAGTGGATCAGGAGGCGCTGGCTGGCGTATGACTGAGTGGAGGCGGGGCTCATTTGCATATTCATAGATCTGCGTATAGTAAATGAGGCAAGGGTGTAGAGTTGCATTCAAGCTATTTTAAGGCATGCGAAAATTATTTTCACAAGAAAAAACATTTAAATATGTCATTTTGATGATCAAAGATGAGTTTTAAAGGATAACATTTTTGACTACAGTGGGACTTTAAAACTAAAAAGTGTTCCAAGCATTTTCAATGGTGCTTTACACATTGTTAGATTAATTGATGTCATAACATTTTTGTCTTCACCTGTTTAAGGCAAACAACGGCCATTGAATGCACTTTTAAGAATGTTTACATGAGGTAAAAATAAACCATGTTCAATTTGTATATATTGTGCTGGATTTATTTGCTACTAAAGATAGGCCTATGCTATAATTTTGTATAAATTTCAACATAACAGATTGTCTGTTCATGGTACAGAAGATAATGTAAATGTCCATTTTGGTCTCCAGACCAAAAGTCTATTCCTGTTTTTTCAGTGATTGCTTGCTGTGAATGTCCATAAATTTAACAGAAAATGTCCTGGTAATTAGGGGCCAAGAACAGCCCATAGAACAGCCCATAGAACCGCTTGCGGGAAAGTTGTGAAATTTGAGAAGGGTATAACTGCAGCCCAGAGATCTCCAAATGGGGGCGAGAACTCCAAATGTGGGCCGTACCTCCAAAAGGGGGCGGGGTCTCCACAAAGACTTTTCGCTTCCGCCATGTTGTTGATTGACATCTCAACATAAGAGTTCGTGAATTAAATGCCGTTTCTCGCTTGAAGTTGAATTGATCTTATATAAAATTTAAGCGTATGTTAAATAAGATTATTGATGACATTTTATCGTTCTGTTTCTACAACGAGTAAAGAAGTTATATACGTGTATATATATATATATATATATAAAAT